GAAATTGTAGAACAATGAGTGTAGATCTTCAAGGAAATGTAAATCTAACCTAACCCTAACCTAAGAGACCTGAATATGAGAGTAAAAGAATGGGAAAAGAAGTGTCTTCAATGATCCCCTTACAAGCCTTTAAATAGGCTTAAAATATGAAATTTCATTTAAGTGTCCCGTCTACGCAATTCGCAACGCAGGTTGTGAGCTGCGTGGAATTTTGTGGAATTTTTGCCTGAAATTAGAGTTGTAGTCCTTGAAAATCCCAAACCATAGCCACTTGAATCACCTCATTTGGACACTCCTAGCTCAAGATATTATAATTTTATCGAACTATCGCCGGAATGCCTTGAAAATGACAATATTTTGCTATTTTCCTACAAAGACAATAGAATTAGTCCTTAATCCTAATTTCTATCAAATTAAGCTATTTAAGAATGAATTAGGCATAAATGACTCCAATTATAGCGCAATTTGCCTATTAAACACCCTACAAAACATAACATAATTGGCACTTATCAAAGTCTTTCCTTTTGCTACTAAAACTTCTTTGCAGGATCTATCTTTTTCTCAGTATGCACCATGGGTAAAATCTGTTCTAAGCCACAACACCGCTGCCTCGGATCCCGTGCCCAATGATTTTCTGCCATAACCGCCGCTGCCAACCGATTCCGTGACAGCCTCAGATCCCATGCAGTCCGCCTCCCCTCCGGATAATTCAGTGGAACCGGCTCGACGGCAACGAGGTCGCTCATGTGGGTGGTCCACCAGACCAAATGTCCGTACTCACTTTATGGCAACTCGCAGTAGGTCGGAGGCTCCTCTTTTGGATCTAGCGGCTCAAGTATACCCTACGGAACCCACATGTCACTCTCAAGCTGTTAAATATCCTGAGTGGCGTGAAACCATGTACCAAGAATTAAATGCTCTCCTACATAACCAGACATGATCTCTAGTTCCACCCACCTTCGGTATGAATATTATTGGCTGTAAATGGGGTTTTCATACGAAAAGGAAGGCTGATGGTACTATTGAGAGGAATAAAGCCAGGCTGGTAGCAAAGAGCTTCAATCAGGTTCCAGGACATGATTTCTTCGACATTTTCAGTCTAGTGGTAAAGCCTACAACGGTAACACTTCTATTATCTTTAGCTTTATCATCTGGATGGGCTATCAAGCAGCTAGATGTTCATAATGCCTTTTTGAATGGTAATCTGGCTGAAACAGTTTATATGAAGCAACCCCCTGGGTACATTGATGCTAACTTCCTTAATCATGTCTGTCTGTTAAAGAGATCTCTATATGGGTTAAACCAAGATCAGATAGCTTGGTTTAATCGTCTACATACGTTTTTACTATCAGTTGGTTTTCAGACATCCAAAACATATATCTCTTTGTTCTATTACTCTAAAGATTCTGCCTTGGTTTATCTACTGATTTATGTGGATGATATACTTGTAATGGGGAGTGATTAGGCTCTAATATCTCAACTCCTATCTAAACTGTCTGCAACATTCAAAATTAGAGATCTTGGTGAACCAAATTTCTTTCTGGGCATTGAAACTGTTAAGAGTAACGATGAGATTATAATGTCTCAGTAACGGTACGTGAATGATATTTTAAAACATGCTGGAATGACAGACTGCAAACACCTTTCTACACCTATATCTATTTCAAAAATTGTTCCCCTTCAGTGCAGATCTATATGATGACCCCACGCAGTACAGGAGTCTAGCTGGAGCATTACAATATCTCACTGTCACACGACCTGATTTGTCATTTGCACTTAATCAGCTATGTCAACACATGCATGCCCCCACCACTTCGCACTAGGAGCAGCTCAAACTTGTACTTAGGTATGTTAAGGGAATAGTTGGCTATGGACTACACATACAGCGGTGTGCTTCAAAGGAGATTCATGCCTTTTCTGATTCTGATTGGGCTAGTTGTCCTGAAGATCGTAACCCCACAAGTGGTTTTGCAGTGTTCTTGGGTAATAGTCTTATATCCTGGGTTTGTAAGAAACAGAGAACTGTTGCTTGATCGTCCACTAAGACCGAATACAAAGCTCTTGCGGATGTTTGTGCTGAGGTTCTATGGATTATGTCGTTGCTTCGTGAGATATAGGTGCCAGGTATTTCTGTTCCAAAACTATGGTGTGATAATATAAGTGCTACCTATATATGCGATAATCTAATCTTTCATGCACGCACCAAGCATGTGGAGATTGATTATCATTTTGTACGAGATAGAGTAGCTTAAGGTGATATTCAAGTCAATTTCATCTCTACAAAAGATCAACTTGCTGATATATTCACGAAAGCTCTACCTGGGCCTAGATTTTTTTCACTTTGAGACAATCTACAGGTTACTAGTATACACTGTGTTTGAGGGGGAGTATTAGGACTCTATGTATCCGAGTCTGTTTAGAACTTCTTATCCTTGTCACTCTGTGACTCTCTATTGTATATATTCACATAATCTAATCTCATTGTAACTAACGTTCAATTAATACAATTCAATCAATTCTCATCCACATGTCACCTCATTATACAATCCACCATATATGTCTTTAATGCCTTATCAACTTTCTTACTATATCATTGAGTGTCTCTCGTGTGTGTGTCTATATATATATATATATATATATATATATATATATATATATATATATATATATATATATATATATATATATGGGCACGCTCTAATGCGAATAAGTGTCCAGGAGAGAAATAAGAACCATGTACAGCTGTCCAAATCAACGAATCAGATGCAATTTTAAAAAAAACGATGCGGTAGCATTTTCGTAAATAACTCAAACTTTGGTACGAGTAAATGTCCTATAAGTGCAAGTAGCTGGTGCACATTTGCTAGTAAAAAGTGCAAGTAAAATTACTTACAAGTACACCTAATTTCACTTACAAGTGCAAGTAATTTACCTTGTTAACATTCGTGCACCTAGGTGCAACTAATTATAACGTTATGTGAACTTAGTATTGATGCTCAATGTAAATTTTATTTGCACCTATAATACATTTTACGTGCACTTGTAATACATTTTACATGCACTTAGGTGTACTATATGAAACTGCTACTTGCACTTCGATGTTCAATTATTTACGAACACGTGAATGGATGTCATGCGTTTTGAGTTCTTTTATGGACGACCATTCTCATTTGAGCGGGATCCTATATATATATATATATATATATATATATGTGTGTGTGTGTGTGTGTGTGTGTGTGTGTGTGTGTGTGTGTGTGTGTGTGTGTGTGTGTGTGTGTGTGTGTGTGTGTGTGCGCGCGCGTGTGTATTTATTTATTTATTTATATACACACACAAGCTATTATACGCACTAAGTGCGTAGAATAATGCTCAACAATTTATCATTGATAAAGTATAAAGAAAATGTTTGTTTTGTAATTTCTTATGGATATGCACAACATTTGGATATGACCAAGAGCTACCAATATGTAGCTTTAATTTTTAATATATACTTTGTAGCTAATTTTTTATAGTAAGGCTTTTGAACATATGACAAAACCGAATATATTATTCCAAATGTATAAAAACTATATATGGGTACTGTTAGAAATTTATATAGTAAATTTATGTTTGATGATTTTAAACATTTATTATTAAATTTAAATAATATTTTTAAATACTATTTTGAGAGTTGTGAAGTTGAAATATTATTTTAAGTTCATAGAAATTTTATTTAAGTTGTTTATTCTATTTGGGAAACAAATCTTTTGATTTTAAAGAGTCTCATGATGAGAGATCAAGAGTATAATCTACTGAAGATTTTGGAAGAATAGTTACATCAATAAAGTTGAACTCAGAAGGTTGAAATCAAAAAGTAAATTCCGCCGACACGATGAAGTAGAACTCCCTAATTCTCTCTCTCCTCTGGAATTTTACAGAGCCCCGTTCCCGCTATTCCGTTCTCGTTTCTGCCTCCATTCTTGACGGAAAATTAAAAAAGTTCCTCATTTTTGTCCCTACGGAAAATTTGGCGGGGACGAAAAATCCCCATGCCGATCAATTCATAGTCAACATATCAAATTATTCCAATTTTAAAAAATAAAAATGAAAAAAGTAAAATCCATAAGTCCTAATAGGCACTAACTACAAATAGTTTTATTCAAACTAATACAATTTACGTAATTATGTTTAATTACATATATTCTATGTAATATTCAATAATCAATATACACAGTACTACACAACAATGAATTATGTAATTAACTAATTATCTTTAATCCAACAGTACACAGTATGTGATTAACTCAATATATTGTAATATCATTATATCAACATGCAATACACCGTATATGCGTTATACATAGTACACAGGGTTGAGCGATTGAGAACTTAGCAAAATTGCGACAGGCAGAAGGAAATTCTATAATAATCTATATCTAATTTCTAATTCCTATATATATATATATATATATATATATATATATATATATATATATATATATATATATAAAATTTGGGAATGGGGCGGAGCGGGAAGGGGTATCTCCTTCTCGTCTCCGTCCCCACCGGAAAATTTCACAAATTCCTGTCCCCGTCCCCGATCCCCGAATTTTTTCCCCGTCCCCGTCCCCAAGGGACGGGGCACATTGCCGTTGCCTTTGTGAAGCAAGTAGATCGGAGGCGGCGTCCGATCATCTTCCCCTGCTGTCATATCCACCGCAGATAACATCCACCTTCACCGTTTTCTGATCTCCTCTATCACCACCGCTACCGATCGTTACTCCATTATTTTCACACTGTACTGTTGTTTCCCTTTGCTTTGTTTTACTAGTTTAATTTTGTTTGCAGTTTTTGTGTTTTTCTTCTCGTTGTTTTGACGAGTTTCTTCCTCTCGTTGACTTGGCGAGTTCTTTTTCATAAAGCGTGAAACGATAAAACTGGTCATGGCGTATGTGAATCTCATCCTAGGTGACAAACATTCTTGAAAAAGAGACTCTTCTGAACTATGATATGCAGTTCAGCCCGATGGAGATATTGTCAATGGATAGAAGAATGGAAATAGATACTCAAGTGGTGTGCAAGACTATTCAACCAGTGTAAGTCGTGGGTACGTTTGACCAAATCATTAAAGAAGCTTTAAGTTCCTCCAAAGAATTCAACTTCAATTTTGTGAAATAGTCTGCGAACCAAGTTTTCAGTAGGATTGCTAGGGAAGTTGTTTCTATGTCTAACTGTAAGGAATGTTTCACCATTCCATGGATCTTTATTGTAAACGTTTCAGTATATCATTAATGAATTGTGATTTTTATTTTCAAAAAAAAAAAAAAAAAAAGAGTAGAACTCCCAATTATTGCAAGAACATTTTCTTAGGACATATCACCATATCATGTAAAATTGAGTATGCAATTTGACATGTTAAATTAGAGGAAAATGCTTGGTGTACTCTCATTTTATACTCCCAACTTTTACTCCCTCTTATATGTTTTTGATGTAGACACTTTTCTGTGGACCCACATGATGAAAATTAACCAATCCTTGTTTTCTATCTCAGGGAGTACGTAGAAGAAACAATCAAGTAAAATTTGGAAGTTTGTATAATAGAACTGGATCTAAATTAGAGAGCACATCCAAGTTAGGTTGGATAATTCAGCAGATCAAGCCGGCTAACTCTATATATAGGTCATTTTAGGTTGAGTGTATTACCATACCTTCTTTACTCTTGAAATAAAATATAGCTATGGCATAGAACCGTGAAGCTTTTCTAAGGTCAAGCGATTTATATAAAACAACACTTTTGTCAAAAATTATTGTTTTATACTGTTGTTATGTGTATTTTTCTTATAGTGGCTTAGCCAAAGCGTGGAGCTTTGAGGCTCTTCTTACGTCAAGCGACTTATTTTTTAGCTAAAGCGCGAATCTTTGAAGCTCTTCAAAGATCGAGTGATCTTTAACTTAGCCAAAGCATGAAGCTTTGAGACTCTTTTGAGGTCAAGCAACCAAACTTTTAGCCAAAAGCGTGGAACTTTGAGGCTTTTCCGAGGCCGAGCAACCAAATTTTTAGCCAAAAAATGGAGCTTTGAGGCTCTTCCTAAGTGAAGCCACCTAAATTATTAGCTAAAGCGCAGAGCTTTGAGGCCCTTTCGGAGGCAAACTACCCTTTTCTCTTTTTGTTTTGTTTGTTTATTTGTTTTTAATGATGGGATACATTCAAATTGGTGTTGAATTGCCTACTAATTTTTTTAACCAAATCATTCGCTCATGAATTGTTGCATTGGATCGAAATAGCTCCGGAAAAAGATAACTAACGTTCCCCACTTGCACCAACTCCGATCCATATCCATTCAATTTCGTACTCGATCTGTTTTGTAATAATCTACCTCACCACACACACACACATATAAATACGCTCATATGCAGTCATCATCTCCCATTTGGTCGTGTGGCCTAATCTGCATCGTCCAATCATTTGCATCCAAAGGCCTGGGACAATCTCAATGCAGCATATATCACTTGAAAATGCACCACACACCATATAATCCACCACCCCCAATGATGTATTTCCGAATACTGTATGGTGTTTTTACTCACTCCTAATGGTGTGTTTTTGGTGATGCATACCTAATTTGTGTCTGTTTTTGTGGTGAATTTTCCTAACGTTGATGGTGTGTATTTGTTGAACTATTGGTGACGCCTCACCGCCGCACCTAAAGACATCGTCACACTTGAACCTTTTATATATATATATATATATATATATATATATATATATATATATATATATATATATATATATATATATATATAAAAGAGCTCAGGTGAGATTGAATGTCCAGGAAAGAGCTGAGGCCCAATCGTAGTTTTCCACGTGTCCAGATTTAATGGATCAGATGTAATTTTTTTTTAAAAAAGTACAGTGACATTTTCGTAAATAACTCAAACTTTGGTGCAAGTAACATTTGTTAAAAGTGCAAATAACTAGTGCAAGTGTGCAAGTAAAAAGTGCAAGTAAAATCACTTAAAAGTGCAACAAATTTCATTTAATAGTGTAAATAATTTACCCTTTTAACATTATATTGGTGCACCTAATGATAATGTCATTAACATTGGTGCAATTTTCACTTAATAGTGCAAGTTGCAGGTGTACATTAGTCAAACATTTTCAATCTCATTTTACGATTTGATTTACATGGCATGCGATAACTTTGCACACATCTCTTTTTCAATGTGTGACAAAAGCTTCTTAACAAGCATTCTCAACTATATTTTTCCAACTTCATGGGTTACACTGATTTTGAGAATCAATTCCTCATTCACTCATTTATCCATTTTGAGCGTACAATATATCGATTTCTTCATCTTAGGAGAATGTAAATTCACTTTGGTCTAACCCAAATTGAAAATGAATTTCAGATATATTTATATGATTTTACCACAAAATAACCATTCAAAATGCTATTTTTGCTAATATTTTCAACAGAAAAAGTGTTATGCATGCTTAATTACCGAACATCCTCCTTAACATTGACTTAAATGGAGATTTATTTGCTCTACAAGTAAGATCATATATATCTACTACTTTGAATATAATCAAGGGGCCAAATGTGTTTCCCTTATGATTAAAGGGCCACATTTAAGCACCCAAAATAATTAAGGGATAAAATGAATTTTTGTTTTTAAAAAATTATTAGTTTTGTTTGCAAAATATATAAGTTAATCAAGATAAGATTAATTTAATTAGTTTTATTTGCAAAATATAATAATAATAATAATAATAATAATAATAATAATAATAATAATAATAATAATAATAATAATAATAATAATAATAATAATAATAATTTATTTTATATGCAAAATAGGATAGAACAAAATATTATAATATTAATTTTATTTTTACCAAATCTTATATTTTATAAAATTTAAACGAAAATTCGTATCCATGGCCGGCCAAAATTATTACTGAGGAACATTTCGAAAAATTATCATGTGTTTTAGGATTAACTCTGATCCATAATTTCATTTGATAATAACCACATACTACTAATAAGAGTTAATACCATTTGAGGTCCTCCGAGTATAGTGGTTTTGTCACGTTTAGTCCTAAACTTTCAAATTGACCATCTGTGGTCCTCCGACTTTCAAATTTAACCATTCGTAGTCCAAATTAACCACTCATGGTCCTTTAAGTTTTGAAATTTAACCAATGGTGGTCCTCTTGAAAGGATCATGGTTGGTTAAAATTTAATAGTTGAAGTACCACGGGTGGTTAACTTGGACCACGAATGATTAAATTTGAAAGTCGAAGGACCACAGATGGTCAATTTGAAAGTTTAGGACTAAACGTGACAAAATCACTATACTTGGAAGACCTCAAATGGTATTAACCCCTACTAATAATTAGATCTAATTCCACTTTTAGTCAATTATTAATATATTATTATATTCAATTCTATGTTTTAAAGATTTTGTCACATTAAAGTTCTTTCGTGTCATTGTCATATTTAATCATACTTTTTTTGTTTTTCTCACAATACATCTCAACTTTTGTGTCATTTCGACATTGCATCCCCAACTTTCAATTTCTTGTCACAAATTAGTTCTCTATTTATATATTAATGTTGAGATGACTATAGTTAGAAGAATATTATAAACAATGACCTTGTTTGGCAATCATCGGATAGCAGATTGTGTTAGTGAAGTTGACCAACAAATTGTATCAGTAGTTTACAAAAAGATGTTTGATAAAATTAGATGTTTAAGTTGGCGATTAACATGTAAAATGACCTATAAAAAGAGTGATGAATGTCTAAAACTCATGTTTTTTCCTTTCACATTTTGGTATTTTTACTTGTTAATCATTATATTATGGAGTCAATCTAGTCACTTTGAATGATTATTTGTGCTTAGGTGACTTGACAAGAAAATGATCTTTTAAGCCAAACATTGAGCTATTTGATCAAAATTTCAAGTCATCATAGTATGAGGATATTTTTGTGAGGCAAAATGAAGAGAAGAAGATTGAACAACACTCTTTCTTGTGCCAAATAATTGTGCCTTTTGTGGTCTTGATGATATAAGCAATTCAATACAAAGACAAAGCAAAAAAATAAATCTATCTACTATACTAATAAGAGCCCAAGAGAGTTAGGCCTATAATGGGTAGAAAAAATGGCGGTTAAATTTTTTAATCAAATGAATGGCTCAGATTGATCAGATTTTAATTTTTTCTTAAGATTTACTAATTTATCCTTAATGAATATGATTATCCGTTAACTTTTCCGTTAAATATTATCTTTTCCGTTAATTTCTGTTAGTTCACCGTTAACTTATTCATTGATTTCAATAAGAAAGGTATTAAGTTCGAAGTTCGAACCCCATCCCAATCAAAGTTGGCATATTTAGTACTCTATTTTACTTTTATTAAATTAAATAATAATAATAATTTAGTAGTTACAACAAAATATAATACATATGCATTTCGATCTTTAATTTAGAATTATGTATCTACAATATTTTTATTAAAAAAAATTATTCATTATCAATAAATTAAATAAGAGAAATAATTTCATTAGTTATATTGTCCTTATTTTTCTCCAATATAAAAATTCTTTACATTCAAATTCATCAATTGATTATATTCGCTACATTGTCACTACAATGTCTTTATTAAAAAAAAATTATTCATTATCAATAAATTAATTAAGAGAAATAATTTTATTATATTATGTTGTCTTTATTTTTCTCCAATATAAAAATTCTTACATTCAAATTCATCAATTGATTATATTCACTACATTGTCTATTATCTTTTTTGTGCACTATTTTTTTAATTAAATATCAAAGTTATAATACAAAATAATGTTATATATTTATTTACCAAGTATTTTATTAATACCATGAAAAAATTAAGAAAAATATAATTAATAAAGTCAATCATATTAACTACTTGAGAAATTTGTTGACAAAGAGAGTATTCAAATCAGACAACAAATTGAAGTGAGAACTATCTCGTAATGTCCTTGTTTGACAATCAGTAGTTAGCGATTAGCAGTTAGCGGTTAGCGGATTATATTAGCTGATTTGACCAGCGAATTATATAATGGTTGGTAAAAA